ACTAACTAAGGTTAATGATTTCTTTTGGAGTGGAAATACACATCATAGTAATTTAAATATATCTAATTTAATTTTGACGTGATTGTAAAGTTAGATTAACTATATCAATGCATTATAAAGAGATGGAAATTCTGTTAAAAATTGATTAATTTTCTTTGTTTGGTTTAGCTGTGATAGCCCACAATTAGTTAGTCTAGAATTCCAAACCTCTTTGATAATAATTTTTACATGATTTGTAATATATTCTCTCCATGCTCTTTTAAACTAGATCTTTTAACCTTAATTTAAACTTATGATTTGATTAAATCTAAAATTTAATGAATTTTGTTTAACCTTTCTTGGAAATAACTTTGTTATCTTATTTATATAACAAGTTGCAGGTTTTTTTGTAGTATACTTCTAATGATGCTGGTGGAAGAGTGGACGATTGTTTGTATAAAGGCAATATTAGCATAGACTACAATGGGGTTGGGGGACTTCTAATACAATTGAGTGTACTGGAACAGAGTACATTGGTGTAATACAGTACTCCTACATTGATCATATTTATATTCTAATTATATTTTTAACTTTTATTTTAAATAATGATATTGTGTTCTCCATTTATTATTTTAATTGTATTTTTCTTAGTTTACATTGCAATTAAATAAAATAATTGGATCTAATTTTTGAATATGGATTTTATTTGGTAAAAGAAATGTGCCACTAAAAGCAAGGTAATCACTTTTATTTTATACCAACATACAAAAAGTGTCGTTAAAATCTAAAAGTGTTATAGTGGCATAAAAAAAGTGTCACTGAAACCTAAAAGAGCTGTAGCGATACAACGGAAAAGTGTCACTAAAAAGTCTTTAGTGGGAGCGCTTCTAGTGGCACATTTTTTTTGTGCTGCTAATTCCCATAAGAGCCTTTAGTGGCACTTTTGTTGTGCCACTAAATGACATTTTATTTGTAGTGGCTAGGACCTAACACAATAATTCACAATTCGGAAGAGGGATGCCGTAATCCAATTGTAAATTATTTGAAGATAGGTAAATGACGATTTACCAATTCCACCACAACAAAATTTTAAACGAATTAGGTTTTAGATGAAATTCCTAGATCTTTTTGAGATTCATCGAACTTTTCAATGACATGTTTAATCTCGATTATGCCCTTCAAGTTTGTGACTGGGATACCGAGGATCACAAACAAGGTGTGAATAACCATGCAAATTAGCTTGTACTCTCGATGTCATTTATCATCTAATCAATGTGCCGGTTAGCCACACACGTTCCATAGATCTATGATAATTTACGAGCTACCCATTTCCATCATTCATTAGTCCACATTAGTGTGTCGGTTAACCACACACGCTCCACTAACTAACCAATAAGGTGCAATGTGCAATTTCATGAGTTAGCATCAAATGCACATTTTCCTAAAGCAACTAAGATTTGTGAATTTATAAAAGCATTTAGTTACTTTATAATTCATTATACTTTTAATGAGAGTTTAGTGTCCTATCTTACTCGTTCGGCTAATGATCCTCCACTAGTCAAGGGTCGGTGGGTAACAGTGGATACCCAATGGCGGTCATTTTATAGGCCGCTTCCTTAAACACCCCTTATAGGCCAGCTTCGTGAATAAGGTCTACTAACGGTAAGACTGATATTTTCTTATATATATATATATATATATATATATATATATATATAAATTAAACTTTTAATATTATAATAGTATAATGATGTATTTTAAACTTTTAAAATACCAGACGATTTAATCTTTTAATCATTTAAGCTTTTAATTTGATTAATTTTAAACCATGTCAAGGAATTATTAATTGTCTCTTAATTAATCTTTTAATTAAATTATTAATAAAACCATGAGGGTGTATTTTTTAAACTTTTAAAACACTAGGGTTTTAGAATTTAATATTTCATAATTAAAACTTTTAATCAAATTTAAAATTCCAAAACTTGAGGGAAAAATTTGAAATTTTTCAAAACTTCTAGATCAACTTTAAAACAATTAAATTAATCATATAATTTTATCTTAATCATAAATTTGACCTTTTATTTTAATTGGCAAGAAAATTCAAATCAAATTTTACAAATAATTAATTTATCACAAAATCTCATAATTATCTTAAAATTTGACAGTTATCTTTCAGTTAGATGAGGATATCCATTACCATATCAGAAAATTCGAATTTTAATTAGTAAAACAACTTATTGTAATTATCCAAATCTAATCTAGGCCAAAAATCCGAAAATCTGCCAACTGAGTGGTCTCCACGTTGTGTAATGCCATTACACATCGTGAAGGGCCAACACGTCGTGGACCAATATGAACACGTCGTGTTCATCAGGCAGAAACAAAAACAATTTTTCTTTTGCTTTGAACAATTCATAGATGCAACAAATATAACAGAAAAACACCCTAGGCTCTGATACCACTGATGGGTTTTGAGGATTACAACATTCCTATGGTGCACATGTAACCCTAATGCTTTGGATCTAGGTTTTTCTCAAGTTATACATGCAAATTAATTTTCCAAAGCAAGAACCCTAATCTAGCATACAATATCGAAATTCACATATGAAATAGGGTTAGAATATTACCTCACTTGTTATATTGTAATAACAAGAACAATCATTGCTAGATCTTGATTTTTAAAAGTCTAGTGCCCCAAGTGTTGCACCTCTAATGAAGTCACAAACACTCGATGCAAAGAATGACTTAGAAGAGAGGTGAAAATCGGCTACTCTAGGGTTTCATAAAGCTTAGTCCGAAATTCCTTATGGAGGGGTTCTATATATAGTTGTGATTGCTAGGGTTTTCAGGTGGAAACCCTATTTCCTTGCTTAAGGCTTAAGCAGCCCATGGACCCCTTCTTTAGAGCCCTTGGACGAAATCTATAGGGCCTCCCTATAGGGTTTCGTCCACTCCATTCTATGGAGTCCATCAGCCCAGTTTTGCAATTATCAATGATTTGCAAAACCAGTCCCTCCATTGTTAATTAGTTCCTTTAATCCCAAAATTAATATCAACTTAATCTCTGATTAATTACTAATTAATAATATGATTTCCAAATAATATATTAATCTTATAATATATTAATAAAATCATTCTGATTACCAAATTATTATTCATATAATAAATCATACTCTCTCTCTCCACTAGTCATCCCATCAAGTTGTATGAGTGAAGGCAACCCAAAAGGACCATGCTCATAATCAAACCAAGTACATATCAAATATAGTTATGGGTTTAGACACCTAATCCAACACTATCTTCCCATCAACAAAGAGATTATGCATCTCAATAGCATCTCGATCCACATATTGATTGTACAAACGCCGATATTTTGTTAATTCCTTATGAAAATTTGGATTAATGATCTTTAATCCAAGTTCAAAAACAGAAGATAAAAACATTGAGTTTGATGAAACCATTGTATCTTCAACAAGTGCCAGAACATGAGGAGATAGAAAGTAGATCTAATAATATTTCTAGAGAGAGAAAAAGGATATGAGATGATTTTTAGAGAGATAAAGTAGATCTGAACACAAATATGAGAATAAACACGAAATTCTTCTTCTATTTCTCTTCCAGAACACGAATCAAGAACAAATTAAGTGAAAGAATTACTAGAAAATAACAGATCTGAACAAGGTTTTGCAATAATACGAGATATTTTACTTTTTCTTTTCAAAAAACTTACAAAACTTGAAGAACAAAGTGAGATTCATGATAAAATATCGCCATAAACAAGATCGATTCTTGCAATAATCGCTGAGATCTACAAGAACCTGCTCTGATAACGTTTGTTAGGAATAAATCTGAGATGATGAAACGGAATATCAAGAACAATCAAGAATCAATCACCATAATATGCAAGTGATCTGATAAAGGTTTTGTGTATATTGATATGGATACGAACGTACAAAGAAAACTCTAATCAGGAAAAAGCTTACATCAAAACTCACCTAATGATTATTTATAGGGAACATAAATATTTACCAAAAATATAAAACCCTAAAAAGGCTTCCCTAAATAACCAAAGATGTTAAATCAGTTTCAATATCTCAAATACTCAACAGGAATGCCTGAAGGCGGGGTGTGGATTGGTAGGGAGTCAACTAAAACGGAAAAGAAGGGGATCTAGTGGGTTTGCAAGAGAAGTGAGGATGATGAAGGCTGGAAGAGGGACAAAGGTGAAGAGGGGTACAACTTGTAATGTTTGATTGACAATGGAGAGAGAGAGAGAGAGAGAGAGAGAGAGAGAGAGAGAGAGAGAGTGTGTGTGTGTGTGTGTGCGCGCGCGCGCGCAATCAATTAATTTAACATAAGGGAGTTTTTGGGAGTGGGTGGAAGGGTGGGATACCCTTTAATATAATCTAAATAAAAACAAAATAGAAAATATATATTAATTTGATAGATAAACTAGTAATTTTAGATCGAATAATGTAACAAAAACGAAATAATAGGGAACAAGTAGTTGGAAGTTGGTAACCGGTGGTCGGAAGCAAGAACTTTTACTTATGTATGGGTGTTGAGCAAAGGTGGTTTGACCCTTTTTAAATATAAGGTTAATCTAGGAAATTGGTTATAACAAAAAACTTTTTCTTAAACGCTATTTGAAGTAGTTTTTAGATTCGAAAGTTTTTGTTTAAAACAAAAGCTTTAAACTCATACTCTTGAAAGAAGTTTTTTCTTTAATTCAATTTTTTTTTTCTTTAAAGTTAACCATACAACCAAATATACCATAATTTTGACCGTTGATTCAATATTAATAATTTACACCCAATATATAGAATACATTCTTATAAAATCTACGGATATGACAATTAAAGATGTGAAACAAATCACCCTGGGATGTTTCGAGTCTAAAACTGTTTTACGCTAATAAGGTCAAAAAGTATGTTTCAGGTCTTATTTCAAAAGAAACTGGAAAACTTAAATTAAGAGTATATAGGAAATCAACAACTTAATGCAGAAGTATGTTCATGAAACTAGACATTGAAGCGCCATGGCTTCTTATTATATCGGATCTTCATACATTCCAACGTATATTTCTTGATATCGTCAGCTTCTTCACACACACTTGAAGATATTGCTTGCATCACTAGACTCTTTGACACATGTAGCCCAGTCAACAGTCTTTCAATGCGCTGCAGCTTTTTCCCGAGTAATCCTTCAATATTCCTTTGATCATATATTTGCGTCATCTTTTCCCCAGAGTGCCATTGCATTTCCAATGGTGATTGTGTCCACTGTTTGTTAACTTGTGTTTTGCAGCTCTCCATTGGTGCATTGGTGTGTCCCATCTGAGCCTTGTTGGTATAGCCAAGTGCTTTACACTTCTCTAGTAGCATCCGTAATTCTGCAATAAGTTGTTGTGCAGATACAATATTCCTCATACCTCTAATCTCCTGCAGTGTTTGGCATCATCGTCATAAATTTCCAACATAAATGCATTTTATAATATAAATGCATATAACCTCCTAATTAAGTTTCTTTATTAAAAGACAAATTAATGAAAAGTGGCCAAACGGATCGGACAGATTGAAACTCGTCCAAGATATATTCAAATGCATATACACAAACCTACTAATTTGCTTTATTAAAAAAGAATTTGTCTCAAATTTAAATAAATAAACCCAAACATTAACATCAACCAGACCTGGTTATATACAAATATTTCATATTTTGGTCTGGTTTTGCATTTCGTTTAACTAACCATTTTACTACATAAACTAAGAAGAAGATGAAACGCCCTTCCATAAACTAGCATTTTGCATACATACCTCACATGAGATCATTGTGAAGATGGCACTTGGAAAAATATCTTGCAGATTATTTTTTATTTCAGTAGATGTAGTTACATTCTCATATGGTTGCACCTCCATGTATACCGTTGTAGGGTAACTCGTTAAAAACTTTAAGATCTTTAAGTTAGCAAATGGAGAAGGTTGATGTGAGATTGGTTCCATGGATGAAGAAAGAAGCTACAAAATATATAACAAAAGAAGCTGATTAAATATAGATTAATTTGATCTCAACAATCATGTGTAATTTTGTTTTGTTTTAATGTTTTTATTGTACAAGAGTATATATTCCCATATTTCAGATAGATAACATAAATGATTAATTAATACCTCAAGAATCTCCAAGTTTAGTGTAAGAAATTTGACAGTGTGGAGCTTTTGAAGTAGACAAACTATTTTATGAGCATCTGCCTTGGTTGGACGAAAAATACAGAGATCAGCCTTTTCCAAAGAAGGGAAACCTTGTGTAGAAAGCTGAATACGACTACCACCTTTGATGACCAAAGAGTTAAGCCCAGATGCAGAAATCTTCATCAGACTCTTCCCACTACAAAATTTAATACTGAGATTCTTGAGTTGAGGTGCAACCACCTTGATAGCCTCCAACCGCCAGTATGTCTGTTCGAGTGTGAGACTAGAAATTCGAGGATGACAGATATTCAAAACATTTGTTCCCTCCATACTGCATCTACTTAAGGAGAGATTACTCAGGTTGGTGAATTTGGAGAAAAGATCAGTGCATTTATCAGACAATGTGATTTCATCAAGATGCAATGTGGTTAAAGATGGGAGGTCCTGGACCTGAATTGGTTTCTCCATAAAGAGAGAAGATGCAGAAAGAGCTCCAGTACTCAAAAGGAGATGCTCGATAGACCATGGACTATAGAGAGAAAGACGGGATCCAATGTTACATGTAATTGATAGTTGTTGGACATTGTGAGAGAATGCGTAGTCAAGAATTCTTTTGAATAATTCATCGTGAAAAGGTACCCCAACAACAAGTTTGACTGAATCCACTTGTGTTTGACAATTGCGGCGAGAAAAAACATTGGAAACAAATTTAGGAAATAAATCCTGAATTGAGAAATTGAGATAGGGCATTGAAGTCCAGATACGCCTCCATCTAGATGACAAAACACTCACTCCAATAGCTTCTCTCAAGCTAATAAAAGAGACGATTTTATGGATAATTTCATCTGGCAAACTGTTGAGTCTATCCTCTTCTGCAGTCATTCTAAGATTGTCATGCCCAAAATCCATTCTACCTTAATTGATGGGATTGTGCATTCATATACACATTATATTGCATCTTTCTTTTGTGGATCCGATCATATCATTATGTATTCTTTCTTGCTCCAAAAGCTGCAATGAAACAAAATGCATCTGAAAAACTAGTTTCGAACAAGATCAAATAGATTAAATTCTACAATTCGCCATTATAAGGTCAGTACTGCTTCCCTTGCAATACATCTCATCACTTTGTGTATGTTTAAATTCTTTACATCAAAAATATTTCTCAGTGGTTTAATTGACAATCAAGCATTAGATATCAACTCTCCAGGAGCACCTGCGAATCTGCGATGCTTTGTTTTTTTATTTCATTTGGCAACCTTAAAAACAGAAAATCATTTCAAACTATCACCAATCTAAATGATTATAATCAGTAAAAGAAATAATTCGGTAATTAAGCAGATACAATGAGATTGGACTGGTTCTTCGATCTCGTAAAAACATACCTTCTCTGATCGCAATGCACACAGATTGAATTGCGAAAAAAGTGTTGGCGCCTCTGAGAATTGCCCTATATGAATGCCGAGATTATTAATTTATATAAGAGCGCGAATCTGAATTGGATCATATTCATGTCAATTGGGCCCGAACATATAGTTCCTTTCCTTTGTTTATCTTTTAATCACAAGATTACGTGATCCAAAGGCAGATAATTAACTTTGTTTTTCCATAATTAGCACTTATGTAATTTTGACACGTATTTGATTAAATTAATATGATTTGGTAAACATCAATCAGGACCAATATGATTCCATAAGTGTCAATGAGAATTAATGTGACATTGAAACCATTATGCAGTTTCCTTTTGTGGATACATGTACTAGATTTTCTGAATTTTTATGTTTTAATGAATGAAACATACATTTTTAACATGTGGAATTATATATATATATATATATATATATATATATATATATATATATATATATATATATATATTGCTATATGACCATTCACAATGTATTGTTCAATAAAATGGTTAAATGAAATGGAATATCAAATTGAATGAATTTAATTCGGAACTCAATGTTTATTCAGATGTTAAATGAAAAAAAAAATATGCATTCAACTTTGTAGAATTAATGGATTGTAGGAATTAAATGATAAAGTCTCGTGTGTTAGTATGTTAGCATCTAGGTTTAGGCCCAAGGCTCTTTAGGTTAGGCCAATGGCCCCTTATGTATCCTTATTTATATGAGGTTTAACACTCATTGCTAATTAATAAAGTCATTATCATACATTGTATCAGAGCTTTACGTTAAAACCCTAAATAATAATACAGTCGTCATCCCCAAACGAGACCTCCTTTCGTGGCTTCTCCTATTGCATCCTCCTCGGATGGCCCTACCTCCGAGCGTTTTATCTCCTCCTCGGATGACCCCTACCTCCGAGCCCTCTACCTCCTTCTCGGATGACCCCTTTCCTTGGCTCGACTCTTTCGTTGTTGTTGTTGTTGCCTCTCCATCAGTACATTCTCTGTTGGGCAACCTTTGCTTTGCGCTCGTCTCTCTATATATATGTCAACATTGTAGTCGCTGATATCACCGATATTTTCTCCGTCCTCCATAGCTCGAGCTCTATTTGTAACATCCGGTTTCGAGAAGCTTCCTATTTCAGGAATTATGGGTATTAAATGGATCAAGTTAGGACCCTGGACTTCAAAGGGTTTAGGTTTTAGACCCAGTTAGGTGTGGATTATATAGGTTGTGTGATCCAAGCTTTCGGTTTGTGTGTTGGGAGTCCAGGGGTATAATGGTAAAAGTGAAGCTTTAGGCCATTAATTGAATTAAGGTTTCTGGTTCAAAAGGTTTTGAGTCAAAGGAGACTTGACGGGATTGTAAGTCTTTTCATTATCTTTCTAAGTATATAAAGAACGCCGAAAACGGAGTTGGGAAGAATAAGATAGGATCAGTGGAAGCTTGAATGGGAAAGTGGGTTGGGCCAGTACGTCGGGCGTACCAGGAGTATGTCGGGCATACCAGGAGTACGTTGGGCGTACTAGGCTAAGTTGATCGCGTTTTTCCTCCATGATACACTGGGCGTACGCAAGTCAGATGCAAACCCTAAGATTTGGGTCTTGGACCCTATTTAAAGACCTTAACTCATTTCAAACCCTTCTTACCTTCAACCCCAATCCTCTCTAACCCTAAATTCGAAACCCTAGGCCAATTTATGAGATCCTTGAGCTTTTGAGTGTTTTGGGAGTGTTCTTGGTGCATCTTGGAGAAGAAGGAGCTCATTGGAGAAGTGTTGGTTGTCTTAAATCTTGTAGATACATACCTTGTTCACCTTGATCTTACTTTTGGAGGTATAAAGCTTTAAACTTGATGGTTTTTTTGTAGATCTAGGTTTGGGTTATAATTTCCATGTTTTGGTCTCATGGTTTTGGTTCTTATGAGTAAAAGCTACTTCGGATCTTAAGGGTGTCATTTCTTGTTAGATATGAGGTTCATGTAGCATAAAAATCAGATCTTGATGAGTATAATTCTTCCATGCATGAGTAGTTGCCTTTTTGGTGAAGTTATGAAGTTAAGGCTTTGGATTGGACACCATTAAGCCATGCAAAGTCATAAAGTCAGGAACTTTATGATGGGTTTTGAGCATAACAACATTCCTATGTGATCATGCAACCCTAATTGCTTTGGATCTAAGTTTTTCTCTATTGAACATACAAATATGAACACCATAGCAATAAGCCTAGATCTAGTATATACAATTTCGAAATTCACATATATATTAGTGTTAAAAGATTACCTCACTTGTTATATTGTAATAACAAGAACAATCCTTGCTTGATCTTGACTTCTGAAAGCCTAGTGCCCCAAGTGTTGCACCTCTAATGGAGTCACAAACACTCAATGCAAAGAATGACTTGGAGAGAGGTGGAAAATCGACTAGGGTTCTCTTAGAATGCATAGGGCCGAAAATCCAAAGGTTAAGAGGGTTTATATAATTGAGGCTACTAGGGTTTTCAGTTGGAAACCCTAATTTCCTTGCTTAGGCCTTAAGCAGTCCATGGACCTTCTCAATAGAAGCCTTGGACGAATTCTATAGGGCTTCCTATAGATTTCGTCTAGTCCTCCCAAAGGAGTCCATCAGCCCAACTTTGCAACTATCAATGATTTGCAAAACCAGTCCCTCCATTATTAATCAGTTCTTTTAATCCCAAAATTAAATTCTGATTAATTACTAATTAATAATATGATTTCCAAATAATATATTAATCTTATAATATATTAATAAAATCATTTCGAGTACCAATTTATTATTCATATAATAAATCCTACTCTCTCTCTCCACTAGTCATCCTGTCAAGTTGCATGAGTGAAGGCAACTCAAAAGGACCATGCTACAAATCAAATCAAGTACATACCAAATATAGTTATGGGCTTAGACACCTAATCCAACAGTCTCCCACTTGGATAAGTCTAATAACTATTATTGTAAGTATGACTTCAGAATATGACTAGCAATCGTAGCTTTCAAAAGCCATTGTCAAACTCTGATCTTATCAATAACGTGTCCTTTAGATAAGGGATCAAATATTCCTCCGTTCTACAAGATATCGTATGGACTATGGATTATAATCATTATCTCTGTCCAAGGTCTGTTTCCCGATTTCCGATTTATGATGACTGACTAATTAAACAAATCAAATCAGTCCAGGCTTGGCCAAGCGCTTAGGGTGTCATCACTAAATCATCGAGGGGCTCACATATCGCTTTTATCCTATTTAGGGTAAAAGGAAGAGATAAACTTCGACTCATATGCTTGTACTATTTACTCATCAAATCACACACAACAATACGTTTTATAACATCAAGTTACTGATGCGTTTACATATTATCAATGCGCAACCGACTTGTAAACAACAACAATGTGTCTCCGTTTCAAGAATATATGATATTATCGTCTCACAATCACTCGTGATAAAATCCATGAAGTGATTCAAATGAGCGTAAGTTTAATCCAATACTCAAATTCTTATTTCAGGAGTACTCATGATCACTGTAGCAAACATTTGCTATGCCTAAGCACTTAGACAATCTACAATCAGATTCATGACAGTCTTACCTCATTACTTACTTCCAAAGTATGATATAACCTAGTTATTCGGGAAGTAAAACATGCGAAGTGAAACACAAGAATAACCTAATCCAATATGGTCTCAAAACTTTTGAATATAAATAAAACACTTATTATTTAATCACTATATTGATTAGACCTTATTCATTGTATAATGTTTCGAACAATCAACTTAATACTTGAATTACAACAATAGTCATCCCATGCTCCAAGCATGTACACTATGTTTATCTATGGTCCTTGCTTTGTGAAATAGATCAACTGAAAACATTTCCAATGATGCTCATTTCACAATTCCAAATCCTTATCACAAGTGTAAGAATACCAAATTCTTACCACTGCTAGGATTTGTTACATCTAAACTTACATGCAATAATCCTTTTGTAATGGCACCAAAGTCACAGAGACTTTTCCAATGATATTACAAAGCATTCCATTGGAGATTGGTTACAAAACAATTCCATGGAAATGAAGTCTCACATTCAAGGAGCATTCCTTGAACATCCTTCTTGCATTAAAGTTTCTAATCTTATTTACAGATTTTTATGACCAACTACCACTATGGAAACATTTCCATATTCCCATATGACAATCAATTCTGAACAAGAGTTACCTCTTCTCAGAACATGTCAATATGGTCCTTCCTAAATTATACCATACTTCCAACTGTCCACAAGCAACCAATCTTTGGTAAACCTCAGATTGTTCTTGACAGTTGTTTAACAACTTTAGTCATATCTAGTTCTGGTCCTTTTTCCCTCTTAATGTCATAGGCATTTGGAAAATCAGAACGAGATAACATTATAGCATAGGCGATCAATCCTATATCTGAAGCATATGGGATTTGATACATAATG